TAGTTCAATAGATCTACAAGTATATAAATAGTTGTATGATTTGTTAAGGTGAAAACAATGACGTAATTATTTTTAAAATCTATGACCATCATCGATATCAAATTCTTAGGTAGGGATCGGTTAGAGAAACATTTATCTCGTATAAAAAATATATTATTTTCTCATAACCTCATGATTACGGAGGATGTATGCATTGACTACCACAGCCTAGTGACATGATATGGCACACCGAACATGAAGTTGTCGGATGTTATGCATCATTACTCCGACTCTTTTGCATGGTGGCATTTCAATCGGATACATCTTTCTTTTTCATTAAAAATTAGGAAGGTCGGATTAAGAGTCCGCACTAATGGGTTTCAACCTTTTGGTTAATTTGGACAATAATATTTTTCGTGACTCGTAATTGTGACACCATATAATTTGCTATTGTGGAAGTGTATGAAGGAAGAATATATGTTCTAAACTATAATTGTCCCGGGACCTAAAAAATCTAAAGATCAACCTAGAGGTGTACTTACAACCATTTATTAAAGAATTGGTTAAATTACGAGAAGTTGGTATGCTTACCAATGATGTGTCCCATAAGTAAAATTTCTATATGCGAGTTGCATGTATGTAGATAATTAGTAACTTCTTTACATATCCAATGTTATCGAGTTAAAGTACTACGGGTAAACTAACATGCTTGTATTGCATGAAAAAATATGATACTTTCGGTCTTCGTAATGGCGAGAAAAACTTTTTGGTTTGATTGTCACCGTAAATTTCTACCACAAAGTCATCCTTTTAGGAGGAATAGGAACATGTTTAAAATAAAATACAATTGTCACGGACATTACTCCCCCAATCATATCCGAAACATAAATTTTACATGAAATACAAAGTTGGATATTGTTGAAAGTCATGGAAAAGGGTTCGAAGAGTGTAACAACAATATATCTAGAGTGTGTGACTAAAAGAAATGAAGTATATTCTAGAATCTTTCTTATTGGAGTTCCAATTTAATTTGACATAATTTGAATGTGATGCATATTGAAAAAAATATCTTCAATAATGTTTTTAATATAGTTTTGAATGTGTTAGAAAAACAAAAGAAATGCAAATTCTAGAGAAGACTTGAAACTTTATTGTTGGCAACCAAAATTAGAAAGAGATGAAAAATTTTAAAAAATATCCTGAAGCATGTTACACTCTGCACAAATAACAAAAAATACAATTGCTGGAATCGATTAAAAAACTCAAGTTTCCTAATGGATATGTATCAAACTTGGATAGGTGTGTCAATACGAACAATCTCATATTACATGACATGAAAAGTCATGATCGTTATGTATATATGTAGAGGTTAATACATGTCGCATTCCATGACCTATTATCGAGAAATATTTAGTAAGCCCTAATTGAGTTGAGCTTATTCTTTCGAGGAATTGACATCTACTCGTCATTAAGTTTATAGATATGACCCTCTAGAGATAGAGATTTCTTTAATTTTGTGCAAACTTGAGCATATATTTCTACCGAGTTTTTTTGACTCAATGGAACATCCTCTAGTCCACTTAGTGTATAAAGCTAAAATAGCAAGGCCAGTATAATATCGATGAATTTGTCCATTTGAAAGGTTAATATATTAATTTTAAATCCTTTATTAATTTTTATTTTTAAAAATATTTCTTAACTAACATATGTATATAATATAGATATCTTCATAAATTAAAAAAAATGTAAAGAATAAAGCTAAAGTTGAAGGGTCAATATACAATGCATATTTAGTCGAAGAAACGTTAACATTTTGTTCATATTACTTCGACCTCATATCCATACCTAGTATCAAAAAATGCCACGTAACTTTGAGTGTGCTCGAGAACCAAGTGATGACATTAAAGGAATGCTTGCTATATTCAAACCAAAAGGTCGATCTCTTGATCGAGCAAAAATCATATGTATTGACAAATGAAGAAAAGCTTACATCTCATACTTATATTTTATTGAATTGTGATGAGGTGACACTTTACATTGAGTAAGTGCTAAAATTAGAAAAAAATTTCAATACGTAACTTCATTAATTATCAATGATTTATATTAAAGACAATAAAAATCTTATATTTTTTCCTTCCAAAGATATTTCATGACCCAACTTTATCAAAGTAATTCCGATATATCAAAGCATGAGGTCGATGCTCGGCTTGAAAATGATTTTGCATCATGGTTCCATCCATATGTAGGTATCATAAATTTCAAATTTTTTTTGTTATTAAGATGGAATTATAAAATTTAATACTAACAGTAAGTAATGGATCTAGACTTTATAGGTAAGTAATGCATAGTCTAACACGATAACCAATTATTACATTAAAGATCTTGTGAAGGAGCCATTGTGAACAACTAAGTTATATCCATGATAATTTATGAAATGGTATAAGTTTCACATTGAAAGTTATGGTTTGGATAGATCAACAATGTGTAATGGAGTGTGCATAAAAGAGTTAGTTACGGTGAGGAGGAAAATGACTACTCGTGGTAGGTTGACTAATATAATGGAACTTGAGTATCTTGTATTACCAATCAAGAGAACCGTATTATTTAAATGTGATTGGCATAATACTATATCTAACATTGATACAAGAGTTCATGATTAGTACGGACTAGTAAAAATATATAATGTGAGGATGTCGATAGATATGATCCCTTTATCCTAGCAACACAAGCACATCGGTGTATTATACAATATATCCTATATTGAAGTGCATCATGCGTGATTGGTTAGTCGTATGTAAGGTAAAACCTTGATCGATAGTGGATGTGTTAGAATTATTTGTTACTATCTAAAAAATTACATAACTATTTTAGAAAAACAAAAAGGAAGCCTAACACAAGGTCATCCAAGTTGATGATGATGAAGGTCAATCATTGATTGATCCAACTCGAATCATTGATAGATTTAGAAAAAGATAAAATTAATGAAGAGAATGAAGTTGAATTTGAAACGGATGTTGATGAAAACTTAGATGAAGACCGTAATAATGATGTTTGAAATAGTGATTAGCAAGTAAGGTTTGATTTTCTTCAATAGTTTACTTTAAATTATTTAGATAACACATAAATATATGTATGTGTGTGTGTGTGTGTGTTTTAATTTAATTATGAAATTATTTGTTTATCACAAAGTAAATATATTTCAACTTGCTTATGTTAATATCAATATTTTAACTAATTAATGTGATAATGTGTAAGTTATGCCTCGTAGTAGGGGACATTTCCTCATGCAATGGCCCATGTCATATTGTGAGAATTGTGGTTCGAAACCGATGATGGCAATGACCATAGAAGTGGGTGTAGTCCCGCATCTATTCCGGGTCGGATGTCCCTCACTCGTCAACATGCTTCGCTTACTAGCCTTCCCTTGCCACCGTGTCAAACCCATCACCGTTTGACATGTCTCAACCCGAGCCATATTATGGACCTCCACGTCTCTACCTATCTAAACCTTTGTTGTCATCGTGGCCCTAACTCTAACAAGACGACCGTCATGTTCTTGAACATGGCTTGTCGCTAAACGTCCCTTTTAGTTTGGCCTCCGCACTCGTCAAATCTATGTTTGATCCTCAAATTGCACTTACTATCATTGATAGCAAGGAGTATGCATTACGCATATTTTTAAAAATATTTTTTTGGGAATATAATTACGTTTATGCATTCATTTAACTATTAATTCATGTCTTGTTTGATAGTTTATATCCTTCGATATTTGCATTCGTCGTATCTTTAAGACACTTCATGAGCATGTTGATATATTTAGATCGATGTGAAATTCAATTAGTGAGGAAACTAAAGCATTATATTGGGGAGAGTTTAAGGTAGTTTTTACCTTAATTTATTACATGACTATATATTTCAATTAAGAAATATTAATGTTAATTTAAATGCACTAATGAACAATTTTAATATTCTTGCAAAAGTGTTTTAAATGGGAGTGGGATATAGAGATAAGCATAAAGAAAGCATGACAGAGTTTGACACGTAAGCGATATTTCAACTTCTTTTATCGAGTCAAAAACGACTTAAAGCAACATATATCACACATGACATATGGATCCGGGGCATAAGGAATAAGCAAAACCCGAGTCTCTTGCCCGATATAAGTTGGTAGCTCGAAACTATAAGAGTGAGATTGGTGGCATTGGAGCTAGCTCATCTAGACATATGAGGGGTTCGATCACCCATAAGGAACATGTAATACGAATGGTAAAACTTATTATTATTATTATTTATTTATAATTATTGCAACATTAATAAACATTTAAGTATATTTGTTTCAGCGTAATAAGTTAGGCCGTGAACCCAATGCTCACGAGGTTTTTTTTTAGAACTCACCCGAAGAAGGTTGATGATAAGTATGTATTCATTGATCAACGAGCAAGAATTCTCGAAGTAAGTAATTAAATAAGGTTATTTTATATGTATGTCATTTTTATATAAGTTATTGAGATAACTATTTCATAGTAAAATTTGTACAATTATGTAGGAGACCGTTGAAAAAATTGTTAGATGAGGAGGTTGTTAGTCGGGAGACGGATGGTACTTCATCATCCGACATCAACATGAACGAGACTTTTAAGAAGGTCGTTGGAGGGGGAGATAGTAAGAGGAAGAGAATGTACGGACTCGGATCACATGCCTTTCACTATTACTCTAATGTCGGTACATCTTCTAGTTCGACAACATTATGGTTTCATGTCAATCTTGAGGCACAACGAAAGGAAATGAAGGCTTATTCTTCCGGATAAGCAAAAAGATTGAGAAACTAGAGGATACCGTTACATCGCTCTTAGCTACTATTTAAGTTTTCTAATCATAGTTAATAGTTCTATCTTTTCGCTATTCAAGTTCGTATCATCCCGATGTCCATCAATGACAACCATTGCTAGCATTTTGTTGCACATTTTCAACAACCCTAGTCTAGAATTACAATTACTCTCTCTCGAACTTTATGGACCAACCTACACATCCTTCTCATTAATGCCCAACCTAACACACACAATACTTGGGTTGTCATAAGAAAAATATAGGTGGTCCATCTCACTTACAAATATCAACTCGTTTACCTTAAGTAATTGATTTATAACCTCCCTAATACACTCATCAACTGATCGGCTAATTATCCTTAACCTATCGTATATGATGGAACCACGTTGTAGTATTCTATAATATAAACTAGTAACATTGAAATACCATATGGCCACACATAATCCCAACAAGATACCAAAAGACATCTTGTTTGGGTCGATTACCATTTCTACAACATTACCTCTACCATATTCCAATGTAAACTCGCTTCAAAATAATATGGCAAAGTGTAAGGTATCTTTAAGCAACTGTGGACAAAGAAAAATAAAATTTCTTGGTATGGACCATATGTAATTAAAAAAGAAAACAAATCCAAAGCAAAATAGTGACCGAGTTATTTATTAGTTACCTACGTAACGAACCTCAAAGAAAAAGCCAATATCCCGTCTCCGGCTTTAAGGTCACCCTTGCATCAACCCATTTGAATCTTTCCACTAGCAAATAATATAAAAGCACCTACGTACTACCAATTGCTCATGTTTACAAAATGCGGAAGACAATGAAAGCGTAACTAAAAATTTAGAGTTATGAAAAAAAGAATAATAATTATTAATCAGTTGGAGCAACAAATAAATGGATTACAATTTATTGATCGATTGGAGCAAGAAAATAGGATTGATTGAGGTATTTGGGTGAATATTTAGGGTTCATGAAATTAGGGATTTTTTTTTGTATTGGATTTGATTCTGGTTAGGTTTGTTATTATAAGAAGGTTAGGTTAGTTTAGTTAAAACGAATGACATTTACTTCTTTTTTTCATTTTTTTTTAAATTATAACTAATTATTTTATATTATTTTTAATTTTTAATAACCAATTTTGTACTACAAAAATTACGTTTTTATTATTGAGTTGATACTATTTATCATACGTTAGTCAAATGACGGAATTTTTTGTTTCAGTTGTAAATTTAAGTAGTAGAAAATTTATTTTGTTTCATATTTAGAGAGAAGGGTTAAAATAACAAAAACTTGATACAACAATAGCACTGAGTGAATTTAACCCTTTTTCCTTTTGTATCTTGCTCTTGAGGTTGCCGGGTTGGGGTTTCGGCCTCTTGGAGATGGGCTTTGTCATCAAGATATAGATAGACTGTGAGTCGGTTACTCCCTCTTTTGGACTAATGTTAATAGGGCCTAACCCAACGTTTCAATGGATGATATATAGCGGACCATGCTTGACTTGTAGAAAATTCCAGGTTCCCCTTGCTTTACTTTCTTTTCCAATTTTCCAAACCGACAGCCATGGATCTACAATCTGGCCAAGGCTGTCGTGTATACACATAAATAATTATCCCTTCTTCCTGCAGGTAAAGGATGCAACTTTATGAAATTAAACTAGCACTGCATGTCCCACGATAAAAAGAACAATTGATAAATGAGAGACAGTCTGGGATGTACGTACGTACGAAGGGAAAAGAAATATAAAATTAACAATGAAGCAATCGTAGACAAATTAATATTGGAGAATCGCATAGAAATAAAATAGCTGAAAGGGCTACTAAATAATTTGTAAGGTATATATGTCAAAAAAAACATAATCACCTTTAGTCCTTTCTTTTATTAATCCGATTGTTCCTTCTCACCTTCCTTGTTGAATGGAACCATGCATTGCACAAGTCAACAAAAAAGGTGCCAATTGATAAAATTATTGAAGGTTCTCTGATCACATGGAAGTGCCCAATGACGTGTGGAGATTGTTGGTGCCATGTTCCATCTATCTAATTAATATTATACATATATATAGTATGGCGTAACGCGTTGATTTCAGCATCAACTCTTCTATCCCATCTATGTTTTGCCATAACTAGAACCGGTTTGGTTAACTTGCACATCTAGAGGTTCTCCAGATCATGTGATGTCATTCAATCTATCTTTGAAATTTTGACATCACATGATGGATCTAATTAATTAATTAATTAGCGAGTATTTATTTATACATTCATTCTTTTATCTTGAAAGAACTTCTAAGGCTTTCTTAAACATGTCTTTTTGTATGGTGGATTATGAAATCATTTTTGTGAGATAACAAGTACTAGTAATTAACAGCTTGCTGCCGATGCCGTTCTTTCTCCTTACAAGAATAATTTTACTCCGTCTCATTAATTTGTTTTGAAATTACTTACTTGTCTGCTATGTTGATAAAGCTAATCAAATATTTGTTGAGTTGTATGCTTATATAATTAACTGAGGACTCAAAGACAATTAACTCGTATTTTCTTTAGTCTTGATTTTGAATAGAAATGTTCTTTTTTTTTCTTCAAGGACCAGTAAATTCAATGGAAATTTCAGAACAACGTAAGATCCCCGTTTGTGAGAACATTTTAGACACACTTGAGGAAACTGACTGGTCAAAAGGGGTTGCACGATTAATTGAAGAAAGCTTGTTAAGAGGGAAAATTACGTCACTGCTATTGCTTAAAGAACAAAATAGTAGTATGAGTATAGCTAGCTAGCTAGGTCTACTTGGTTTGCGAAGCACGTTTGTTCCAGCTAGGAGCAATAGCTTCGGACATTAATTATGCTCAAATACTTTCACAAGTTCCTGTCCAAGTTCGTTATGATTTTGCATGTCTCTTTTTCTTACAAAAAGTTTTAGATTTTAGGAGAAACTTCAGTTTAGTCTCAAACATATATATATTCATTCTTAATTGCATATCAGATTTATGAATTTTATTAATTAGGTTCTAAATGTTTTCTATATTTCTCAATTATGTTCTTTTATTATTACTTTTTTTTTTTTTAATAATTGAAGTCTAATTTACATAATTTATGTACTGAAACGGTGTCAATTATCAAAAACTTTGATGGAAAGCTTAATAAATATTAACGTTTTCAGTCTAGTATGCATATTTATATACTGAAATGATATTAATTTGAAAAAAATTTGATAAATATTAATAAAAAAATCTAATTGAGATTTTTTTTTTTTTTTGAAATATTTGGAATCTATTGATAACATTTTTATATATAGGACTCAATTAAGAATAAGTATATAGTTTTGGCACTAAATTGAGATTTTTCCTTGATTTTAGTTTCTTCCTTGTAATTTTGGCGGATACAAATGCGAAAAATTAACTGGACCTTCTCCACATATGGTCAATTTTCACCCTTTTTTTTTTTTTTTTTTTTTTGGCCCTTTTCAGAATTAGGGCTGCCTGGTAGGCCGATGCGTTCTGGCTGCTTCATTCATTCTCCATAGCAAGGCAACCGTAAATATGTTTTTTTTTTTTTTTTCTGATGAAGAGAGGCTTGATAATTATTGAGCTTTATAATTAAAAGTAACAGTCGCTCCATCCCTATTCCTCATCCATGACTTCCAAGATTTGAATCAGAAATTTCCTACTATGATTCCATGTCTTAATTGTTGAGAGATCCTTACGAGAACTGCATCATATGCTGAATGTGGTAATTTATAGAAAATGTTTAGTAATCTCAAGATGGTGGTTTAATGGTTAAGAAAATATTTTTGTTGTTTTTTTATTGCACCCTACTAATTTCAATCTATTTTTTATAAATTATTTTAAAAAAATCAATTTATGTTGTATAATCTCATCCAATAAATACTATCATAATGTATAAAAAAATACGTATTAGACATGTTGATTATATTGAAAATTAATTATGCATTTACACTCATAACATCAACCGATGCTATTATTTTATATATTTTAAAATTATTTTTTCAAATAAAATAATTAAAATAATATTTTAGAATAATTACCTAATAATTCAAATATAATTTGTTATACTAATATTATTTATTATTTTGTAAGTAAATACATATAAATCAAATGTATATATTTTCAAAAAATATTCTACTCATTAGTATTAAACAAAAATAAAAAAATATTTGTTAATTTATATATATATATATTATGGATTTTAATTTAAGAATAAATACATAAAAAGAATAAATAATGTTTTTTTTTAACAACAAAAATTATTAAAAAATGAACAAATTAAATAAATTAAAAATTTTAATTAAAAATGATAAAATTAGATAAAATTATATTTTTAATTTAATATATCGTTGTTAACTGATATTATAATATATATTATTAACTAAAATAAATATGTTTAATTCAAGTATGCAGTATAATGCTAAAAGTCAACTAGTAGTTACTAATTTGAGTGGGATCAATTATTAAAAAAAAAAAAAACATTTTTTGTGATACAATTTTAATTCTATGGGTATTTTATATTATTATATGTATAGAAAATAAATTAATTTTAGGGAAAAAAAAAAAAGAATTTGGGTGTATATAGGACATTAAAAACAAAGGTGTGATACGAAAAAAAGTCCCAAGTGGAATATGTCTAAATGACCTATATATCTGATTTAGAAAAAATAAAAAATAAAAAAATCAGTGGGGTCAATCGACTTAATTGCCATGCGGTGGATCAGCTAATGTCTGCGAATAAAACTGAGTTTCGGATAATGTACCAACTGAACAAAAATATCCTTTATCGATTTTTTAATAAAAAAAATTTTCTAACATGACTGGTTCGATAGCGATTTAATGGCATTTTTTTACGTTTTAACCATTGAAATTGTTACACATTGAGACTTGTAATATTAATTTGATTAATTTTGTTATTGAACTATTATGTTGCAAACAAATATTGTTTGTTCATTTAATTTTACTTTGATTAAAAAATCTTTTAATTTTTTAATGTTTGGTATCTTGAGCTGAATTTTTTTGCATATGCTAATAATAATTCAATCTACTTTAAAAAATATTTATAAAATTTATAAAATTTTTCTTAAACATTTAATATTAGTAAAATTGTAAAAAAATTAAGAACTAATTTTAAATGATCGCAAATTTTATTAGAGGCCCAAAAAATCATAAAAATATATTTGTTTAGTTTAGTATAATTCTTAAAAATTTTGCATGATCGAATGCATAAAATCTAACTAAACTTAAAATATGTTAATTTTAAAAACTATATATGCAAAAAAAATTGATAACCGCATTATAATTATCTATGTAAATTCATATAACTTAAAACCTTGATAGAGTTCAGAATTAAAAATCTAAAACTCTCGATAATTTAAATTTTTATATAATCGAAGTTTCTATTAAATTGTATGGTGAAAGAATTAGAATGATATTTTTTTTACTATTGACTATTTTTTATGCCAATTTGAAAAATTTATACCTTTGATATGATTTGCTTTCTCACAACGTTAATAGTGTTGAGATTAGTGTCGATTAGACATAAAAAATCTCGAAAAAAACATCTTCATTAGATACATGTATTTTTTTACCCTGATAATTGGTGGAGTTAATCCTTCTTTGTCCAAAACGAATACCCTGAACCAAAAAGATGTCAGCGTTTCGATATGGCACCAACCAGTCATTGAAGAGATAAAGTACTCATTTTTAAACATTGCATGTCTAGAGTTTCTTAATTGAACAGTATAGTGGGAACTTATTAGTAAAATTGACATATATTGGCCAGATTCATCAAAATCCAAGACTTCATTCATAACACACTTTGATTTTTAAATGCCAAAAAACAAAAGAGATAAACAAAAAGAGAAAAAGAGTAGAGAAAAAGTGCTTATTCGATTTATTTTGCCTCCTACTTTAACCAACGATATATCATTTAATCTTTTTATTTTAAAGAATAGAATTTGTTTATGATGATTTCAAAGTATAAAATGATTAAATGTGATATCTCAAAATATTATAAACTTTTAAATTTAATTTTTTTTATTTTTTATATGTATTAAAATAAATTTTAAGATTCTAAATACGTTTATTGATTAATATTTTAGAGTGGAAATAATGCACGGGCTATGTTTTGTGGCCAAAAAAAAAAAATCCATTTTTTCGACGAACTTGAGTTCGTCGAAATTAACAGGTAGACTTTGCATCGTATTATGTACGTAGCAGACGAGCGTCGTCCATTTATTATTATTATTATTATTATTTTGCTGGGCCGCTCAGGTCACTTCTACAGGCACGACTTAGCTTCTTCTTTTTTTTTTCAATATTTTTTTATTATTGATTTTTGTGCTAAATTTTATGGAGAAATAATTGTTATTTTTTTGGGTTTTTCATACAA